GTAGTAGTAGTAGTAGTAGTATCAGGAGTATCAGGAAAGGGTATAGCAGTAGCAGCAGTAGCAAGGGCTTCCAAGCCAAGCCAGAATCCAATTTTTTGGTGGAGGGCGGTTGGTTAGTGGCCGGTGGTGGGGAGGGCATGAAGAAGGGAAAGAGGCTCCTGAAAAGTAAGTCACCCTCAGTGCCAGCATATCCACTAGTACAAGGGGCAGTTACACAAGTAGCAGCACCAGCAGAAAGGGTTCCTGCAATCGCTTGTGCAGTGCTACGCGACATGTTGTGGGCTCGGAAAGCAACGAGTATCCTCAGCATCGAGAAACTCCAAGAACATACACGGAGTAGGAGATTGTGCCGCCCGGTTCCACGTAAGAGACACAGAAAGCTGAACGCACTGTCCCCCCACCGCCAAAGTGTCCAGCGACCTGGCTTCCGCAGGTTGTCTTCTCGCGATTGGCTACAGTCATACAGTAGCTTGATTTGACCAGACGCGTGTTGTGAATGTGCAGCTTTTGCGCGAAGAGTCCAGCTTGCTTGCAGCACTGAGCCTGGTTGAACATTCCTCCTTCCGGGCCCTGTGCAGGTGGGGAATGATAGTCTTTTTGCTCTTTCCGGTCGCCTGTATTGCAATGGCAGCCCAGCAGGCACGATCATCATGGTGTTGGCAAGTTTGAACGACTTCACGACGTTTCTTGCTTTATGCTCCAACCTTTCGTGCGGTCGCACGTCCGGATCACATCGCCTGTGTCTCGTTGTAGCTGTTGTACGTAGACCGTTGAGCGAAGGAGTCAGATGCGACACAGAATTTATAAGGCTCGCTTCTTGGACCTGAAAGCGTCCCTCTTTTGCCAGGTGAGCAGCGACTCTCCCCGGCTGGCATCTCTGGGGAGCTTGGTGGCCACTTGGGATTTCTGGATCCGGGAGGGAACTCCTACCACTTTGCAGTGCAGCGTGACGGGTCTTCCGGCTAGAGGCCGTAACACACACGGGGTTCTCGCAGACTGCAGCGTGCTGTTTGCATAGTTTACGTGAAGTTGTAAAGTTCATACATGGCTGAAGGGCCGACGGGAGCGTCAGCCGACAGACTGAGGCCGTTACAATCTATGCTGGCAGCATCGGTTTGGCACGGGCCTCCGTCGACTCCTTCCACTTCAGCTGGGTTTCGTTTCTTCTCTCTTTGACCCTCGACTGTATTGTGCTTAAGACGGTGGTCGGATGTGGTAGGTTCTTTGGGGTAGGGTCTCAGGACTGAAAGTGCCCTCCAATTTGATAGCTGCTGATTCGTATACAATCTACCATAGCTCACATCCAATCACGCCAGCGATTCCCGGAGACATTATCGTCCCCTCGCAAATGCCATATGTCATGCTCGTACATTTGTTTCTCGGCTTTTTGCACACCCCGTCGACTGGGTCGGTCCGTGCATTATGGTGGTGTGGAAAGGTACCAGTTGACATTGCAAAAAATCACATCCGAAGCGTTTGCGAAACATTTTCATACCTCGCCATTGCAGACTGTCTGAAGCCATCAATACGACGAGGGTGAGTGTCGAAACGACAAGCCGCAAAGCCAATCGATTTGATTGCATGAATGGCTTTGGACCCCAACTGGTCAGAGAGTCAGAGGGGTGAATGAACGGATTAGGGGTGCTGCAGGAACATACTGAGTGCTGGCTTGTGTTTCTGTTTCAGTAAACGTGTCTAAGAACTTGGCCATAGTACCAACACGTGGAATTCCGTCCCTGCGAGCCTGGGATGATCGACGAGGGCGCAGCCGACACGTCAGCGACCGCCAGCCCCACGATCGCAGCCACGCTTACGGAAGCCCGCTCGGCCCGCAAAGGCGGTACATAATCTGTTCGAAATGCAGACGAGGCTGTGTCAGGCGTCCCTTCGGAAGATCCGGTCAACAGCTCCCTAATCATCCCCAAGAACTGGGACGATCGCCTGATTTTGCTGTTTCAATTTGGGTTCCCCACAACAAATTAATGGTGAATGTGCAGAATCGTCGATCAACGTCCTCACGAAACGTGACCACATTATTCATCCGAACAGTGGCCTCCAATGCCATTGTTTGCTAGTTACACTCCGGATGGGGTCCCCTATCGACCAGCAGCAAGATCGGAGTTTCCTGCATTCACTGGGGTGCGGCCCCTGCGGATGCTCGGAGTCGTCAGTTTTTTTGGCCCTATGCCCTAGGCCCTAAAGGCATGGCTGCCGATGCGATCGAGCACGGCCACGTATGCTGACGTGAAAGACTTCCTTGGCAATGAAATTTGATGACACCGTCCCGTTGTTGAGGGCTACCACTTTGACTCATATCTGAGCATTGAGCAGTAGTTTCAGCATGAAGAGGTGCGATCGCTCGATGCGTGCTCATGCAGTGAGTGTCCGAGCGGGACGGAAGAGCGGGGCTTGTTCCTCAATTCCCCGGACGTTCGGGTTTACGTACACATGTTTATTTATTTGTGCACCGGCAACGTGCTTGTGCGATTGTGTGTGTTCGTGCGCCACCGAGGCTTGCACTCTTCTTGCTAGGTTGCTACTTCTGCCAGTTTGTGTGGTGGTTGGATCCTTTCAGCTTCACCTCCGTTTCTGCTGCTCGGCTGCGGTCGAGCCGGGTGAGCATGGCATGTCTTCAACCCGTCGCGACATGTCGAAGCACGCAGTGTAACGCGCAGACAGCTCAGGTTGTGATGCTGTGTGTCAGCGCGGTGCCCGGCACCGTCCTGGCCTTCCTATGTGGCAGCTGGCAAGGGAGTGGAACCTTGCTGGCCGTGCTCTCTGGAGATCAGGCTGCGAAGTCAGGTAGCAGAGCGTATTTT